GCAGTGCTTTTCAACCTTTTTTTGTACCAGAACCCATTTGTCAACATTGATGGCCAGGTCCCAGCCCCCCAGTGTGGGGCAGGGGGGCCCAAGCAGCCCCTTGCAGGCTGCAGGCCTGCAAGGGAAAAGCCCCATTTCCCATGATATTCTCCTTTAAAGGAACCCATTTTTAAAAGTTTGAGCCACAGTTCACAGGTTGAGAAACGCGGGTCCAGGCTGTATGGAGGAACGCTCCAGGTAGCTGAGAAGTGGCAGTGGTCATCTCCCTCCCTGATCACAGGAAATACATTTTGGTGTATTCAGCTAGAGAAGTTTCTTCCCAAGCCTAGCACCTTTTGGCTTATACAAGCCAGTAATTTAGGTGAAACATTGATAAAGGGTCATGGCTTTGTGCCCCCAGAATTCAGACAGCTGAGTTTTGACCTTCCTTCAGATGCACTGCATGCAAATGTGACACGGCTTCAAAACTGGTGCTCTTACCCAGCTGCCTTGTTTGGCTAATAATAGGCTGCAAAATGTAGCAAGCCTACTGAAACCAGACAGACATTAGCTTGGCTGCACATATCACAAAAATCTAAACTAAGTGAACAGAAAGTTGCAAAGGCAAGCGTGCATTAGGAAATGCCAGAGTAAAGATTGCTTGTGACTTTAATTTGGCTCTGTTGCATACGGGCACCACACCAGTCTTTAAATGACATGACCACATACTACTTTTTCAACGGATCTCCTGTCTCACTCCGCCCAGAAGACAAGTAAGTGCTAACAAAACAGGATTCTCTTTAATCCAAATCATTCAATGTGTGGCTCGGGGGCCTCTGAATCCACTTCCATCGTGTTCCCCATATGCCTGCGGTGGGTTTACTGATCTTGGCCACCAGCCCGTTGCAGGAGTGGGCTGGTGTTACAGAGAAATGCTAGCTTCACCTCCGTAGCCCAGAGCAGGGCCATGTCCAAGCTGCAGGTTGGAGCAATGAGCAAGTGGAGCATGTTCAGTGAGGATGGTTTTGAAAGCAATTTCAGCTGCTAAAACCTAGCAAAGCTCTGCAAAGCATGTGCAAGTCCAGGGTTTTCACAGGCTTATTGACCAGATGTAGGTGGATTTTTGCAAGGGAAGGAAAAACCCCCAAACCAAACCCTAATGAGAAGGCCACAGTTGTGCCTCATTTTAGTCCTTGCTCTAAATCTGGGGGGAGGGGGACTCATTGCCTCTAACAAATTCAGCCTCTGGCAGAAACCCAACATGGAAAAGTTCAGGCCAAGAAATGCAAGTCTGGTAGCAGCTGTAAAGCAACTGAAAACAAGATCTTAAAAGAGCAGCAGTATTAGAGAAGACTCGCGTTTTCCAGTAAGAAGAGATACAGGAGACTAGAGACGTGTTTGGCAGGGCTAGGCCAAAGCAGCAGCACGGGGATCAGACCCCCCGGCGCTCATTCTCATTTGGCCCTGTCTAGGCGGATGGGTCCTGCTCTCGGCTTGTAGGATGTTGCTGTAGATAAACTCGGTTCCAGCTGAGCATGCTGATCTTTGGACTCTGATGCAAGGACGGCCTGTTTATGTAGGCTTTGCCAAGCATGTGTTTAGCTGGGATCTGAGGCTCCATATATTCCTGGATGGGAAGGGTTTGTTTTTAAGCTGAACCACTGAGCTTTTTCAGCAACGCTATTGTATGCAACCTCTTACCGGATTTAATTCATGCATGTGGGCAGTCCGCACTCCCCTCCAAAACACCACTGAATGGAAAATACAAGGCTTCGGGTGGGATCCCCGTTCCTCCTAGTTCTCCATCCTTGCCTCAGGTCGCAGGTGGGAGCAGCTGCCTTACCTCCCCACCTCGCACCGGCGGTAGTGACGATGTAGCTCCCGGCGACCCTGACCCTTCAGCGCACACATGACGTCGGCGGCCCTCACGGCCGTTGGCTTGACGTGTTCAGCTCAAGCGACAGCGTCGCGAAGCGCGTTGTCCAAGGACGCCTGTGCCGCTCTCTGGGCCTCCCTCTGCCTCTTCGCGAGGGGAGACGAGTAGGGCAAGACGGGGTCTCCAGAGCTCGCCTGGGTGACTCCGCTACCTTCCTGGCGAGCCCCACAAACCAGCTCAAAAACGCCCCCCCCCCCG